CTGCTTGTGTAACATGGGATACGTCCTGCCGTCATTCAAGGTGCAACCCTAATTGCCACTGTTTGATTCGCCAAGTTACCAGTGTCCATCTGGAGTTTTAAGACTAAACGTCTTTGTACGTCGCTCTCAGTGTGTACTTTGTTGTAACGGTGGCCAAGACTGAAATATTAGCCGTCTATGGCTCGACGTCAGCTTTCCCGCCAGCTGAGTCGATTTGTTGTAACGGTGGCCAAGGCTGCGATATTCCCGGCTGACTAACGCCTCATGTGAGCCCCAGAGATAGAGAGAGAGAACACAACAAGAAGTGTGCAGAAAGTATAAGTCTTAGAGCAAACCTAATACAGCATGCTCAAGAGCAAGCGAATGCGTATGTACAAGTTTGGACCAATTCGGTGGTAGTCACAAGAAAGGCATGACTTCATTGGCTGGGTGAGTCATGAGAGTTGGCGCGTTAGCCCTGCGCTGGCTGTAGCTAGGCGCGGCTCAGACAATGCACTTGTGTGGGTGGACCTCTTGCCAGCTGCATTATAGTCCTGCGCCGGCCGCACCTGCGTGACGTTATCGAGTGCATTGTGACTGAGCGAACTGGTCGGTTGCCGTGGCAACTCTTCGTCAGGGCTGTTTGCGCACGCCATTGAGTTGGCCCTTGACGCACTTGTGCATATGTTCGGCTCACTGAACTGCTCTTTTGTGCGACAGCGTACTTTGCATTCGAAACCACATGTGAATAGGCCGAGCAACTTTAATTGGTCAAAGTGAAATACCCGTGGGATAATTTAACAGTGGTAACTAGCAATCAGTCCTGATCGCGTCTGGCACATTTATATTTGAAGTGGTAAGTTCGGAAATAGGAAACGCTGAGGGACATTGAGGGACCAAAACTTTCGCTGTTGCGTAATGCAGCAGAGGAGCTACGTTCATTTGATTATCCTCTCAAGACTAAACCAGAAAACTTCATCAACGACTACTAAGTTCTGGACTGGACCTTCGGTCTAAGATGTTGCCCAGGTGTGGTCGCTATGTTGAGCGCAATTTTATGTAGCCAGGGTCGAAAACTGGATGCTGTGAAAGCAAACGAAGCTGATGATGCGCTCACTTCGCCGACCAATCTTGCAATGTAAAAAACCTTACTTGTGAATAACATTCTCTCTAATTGACGGTCCGATGTTAAGGGACGATGTTCGTCATATGAAACATAACACACAACACGGTGACCTGTGTGGGAATCGGTTTACAATGATCGTAAACTTTCGCTGTATCTACCGCACTCCTTCCTTCCCCATTCATTTAAGCCCATATAAAGCCGCAAGGGAGCTGAGACTGAAAAGTTAAATTTCAGTGACCAGAATGAAACCAAGCTGACTTGACTAAAAAAACATCTTTCGAAAAAAGTTTGCGACTACGCTAGAAACATATTACAGTAGTCGCCGGTTATTAAGCCCACTTCGGGCCCAGACCAAATCGGGCTTAATGAGCGGCTGGGCCTATTAACCGTGGGCTTAATAACCGGCGACTACTGTATTACCAAAACTGAGCATTCTTCCATCACTTCCCCATAGTTGACCAAACCGAATGTGGATGTTTGTAGGGGCACTTGACCAATTCCATTTCCACGTTAAAATCATCAGCCAGCGGCCCGGAAGTCTTGCAAGTGAAGCTGGGGAGTTTATAGCAAAGTTCGACAGATTTGTTAAAAAATTGTTTCTTGGATAGTAAATATTGTAGTCGATTACAGACTGGCCCTCATACCAG